AAATAAGCTGAACTTTATTGAAAAAATTTAACTAAACAGTTTTTCAACAGATTTACGTAATTTGATGCCGTTTTGTATGTTCGAAAAGTGAGAAAGGCAAGAAAAGCCAAATTCTGTCATCCTGCTCTGATTTCTGTCTCAAAAAGGATTTTCTGGACAGGATTATTCCATATTAACTCTATTAAAGTAGGACAAGTCCAAATCAGACCAAGCAATCACTTGCGCCCATTCCCTTCAAGTCACGTTCCAATCTGCATTTTAATTTGTGTCACTTTTTCAAATGTCATTCTCTTCCCCCGTCCCTCAAATTGCTTTTTAAAGTTTTTTCAGCAGCTCAGCGAGTTAGGATTTGAAGTTTTCATCAACAGTTTTCAATTGCTCGATAAATAATAGCTAATAGCTATTAGCTAATAAATAATAGCTAATAGCTAAATAGCTAGATGGCTAATAGCTATTTGCTAATAAGCTGGATTATGGAAAATAAATTCACCTTATCAAGCCAAGAGATGCCTGGAAACGAAACACTGAGAATCTCCTTTTGTTCATCGAGGATTCTCTGCACATCTTCCAATTCCATTTGAAGCATCATTTCCTAGAAAATCTTTAGATCTTTGAGTCTTTAAAACTAGATGTTTAGGGCTTTAGATCATAAAACTTTAGATCTTTACAGATCTTTAGATCATGGAATCTTTAGATCCTTGAATCTTTCAAAGCTTTAGATCTTTAGACTCCTTTGATGCCAGTGCTGAATCGCTTGGTCTTTGAAGCTTTGGACTCTTTTGAATGCTGCAGACCTTTGAATGTGAATGTTTAAAAGCTTTAGATCTGAATCTTTAGATCCCTTGGAGTCTTTAGATCCTTAGATCTTTAAAGCTTTAGATCTTTAGATCTTTGCGTCCTTAGGTCTTTAGATCATCAGATCTTTAAAAGCTTTAGATCTTTAGATCTTTAGATCATGAGATCTTTAGATCCTTAGATCTTTAAAGCTTTAGATCTTTGAATCTTTAGATCATAGATCTTTGATCCTTAGATCTTTTAAACTTTGAATCTTTAGATCTTTTAGATCATAGGTCTTTAGATCCTTAGATCTTTAGCTTTAGATCTTTTAGATCTTTGAATCATGTAAGATCCTTAGGTCTTTAGATCCTTGAATCCTTAAATCTTTAGCCCTTTGAATCTTTAGATCGTTAGATCTTTAAATCTTTGGCCTTTTAGATCTTTAGATCTTTAAATCTTTAAATCTTCAGATCTTTAGATCCTTAGATCCGTTAGATCTTTAAATCTTTAGTTCTTTAACCCACTTTCTGCAAAAATTCATTTCTCGTGTCATCAACTCTCTTTTGTAATTCGCCCAGCTCCCCATAGAGTTTATCCTTCTCATTATCAGCTTCTATTCAGGAGATCTTTCTCTCGATCCAGCTCCTCTCTAAATGAATTTGCATTCATTTCCCATTTTAAGAATTTACCGTATCTGTTCAATGATCTCATATTATTTGTCGATCAATGCTCACTTTGTGTTGATCGACATTTCTGCTAATAAAGAGGCAATTTTTGATTTTCTGATTTCGATTTGTGAAGGCAGAGCTGTGCAATAGTTCGATCTCGATCTTCAACGTTTTTCCCCAAATTCAAATTCTCTTTCTTTTTCTCCTTCACCATTTGAATCAATTCCTCGATTTGGTTGGGCATTGTGCTGTGTTACTAAAATGGGAAGTAGTCAATGTAGGTAGTCAATGCAGAAGTAGTCAATGTAGGTAGTCAATGGGAAGTAGTCAATGTAGGTAGTCAGGCTGGAAGTAGTCAATGTGGGTAGTCAATGTCAACCAATCAATGTAAGCAATCAATTTTTCAATGCTTACAAGATTGTCCAGAATTATCTAAGAGTATTTTTGCTGTGGCATATTTTCCTTACAATTTATATATTCTTTTTGTCTTTCTTTTTGGTTTTATTTCATTTATTTAACTATTTACTTAGTATTTTTTACTTGTCAATATCGCTTTAGAATGGCTAAGAAAGCTAAGAAAGCTAAGGAGTATGAGTGTACCCCGGATGCGATCCTCGACTTACACAAGCGTCGCGTTCTGGCGATAGATATCTCTAAGCGATTGGTGATACCACAAACAACTTTTTTACGGCGCGACAAAACGCTTTTTAAGGAGTTAGGAATCAATTCAGGTCGTCCTTTTGCTTTCAAACGCTTTCAAACGCTTTCAGAGCGCTCCAAAAAACTGGCACCCCCCCCCCCCCCCCCCCCCCCCCCCCCCCCCCCAAAACGTCCTTCGAACGGCCGGATCTCTCAACTTGAAACTCTATTTATTCGGAGTCTTACCCCTTTCCCTAGTATATTCCCCCGATCCCTTTCTATCGACGTATTTCTTCATTTCATTTAACTCACTAAAGATTCACGCAAACAACTTGTTTAAAAAACGATCAAACGCCTTTAAGAGTTGCGAATAAATTTTGATCCTCCAGGAGGTGGTGGTAAAGCAGTTGTTGTCACAAAGACTAATATCAAGAAGGGTTCGAGATCATCAACCCTTGGAGGAAAAACCAAGCCATTCACGCAAAGCCAGTTCACAGGCCAGTTCACAGGCCAGTTCACAGGCCAGTTCACAGGCCAGTTCACAGGCCAGTTCACGGAGCCAGTTCACGGAGCCAGTTCTGAACCAAGATAGCAAAAGAATATAGGAATTTCTCGAACTTCTATAGGCTGTATTTTCAAAAAATCGTCTTCGAAAGAAAGCTGATATAGATTTTCATTCTTACAAATATTCTTGCCCCGTCCCTTTTCAAAGTTATCAAAGTTTTGAGTTTATGCTTATTTGATTACAGTCCCTCCAAAGATCTTATTTTGCTGGCTGAGTATCGTGGGGAAATCTTGTTCAGTTCTTATTCAGTTTCTTATTCAGTTAAAATATTCCAGTTAACGCTGAAATAGAGTACTCTTTTATGTGTAAGAACTTCGAAAATAGAAGTACTCTTCTCAGAATCTGCACTATTTTTCATAAAAAACAACTAGATTTGGTAGACTTGTACTTAAATTTCGAAACACAGCTTCTTTAGGGGCACTCAAGTCGTTATTTTCTAACAAAACTATGCCCCAGAAATGGTGTGTTTTCTATCTTAAAGTTAAGCAAAAGACAAGTCAGACAGACAAGACAAGTTTCGGAACAAGTCCAGTGTTTTACCTGTTCATTCTCAATGTCCACATGATCCACATAATCATTTGCCTCATCTAGCTGCTTCTTGAGCTTCTCATTCTCCTCCAATATATCCTAAAGTTTGCAGGTTTTGTTAAAAAATCATCTCGTGATCAAACTATAGCCTTTCTAGCGGTCACATTTTGATTTCTATCAAAGCATCACTTGTGCTTTCCATTTGTACTCACAGAAAAAACACTTGTGCGGTGAGATTCTTATCGAAGAGGAGAAATGTTTGGCGAACGAACCTTGAAGAGACGAATCCCCCTTATGAGATCAACTCCAGGATTGGGTTTTAATCGACGATTTTCCTCAGTCAGTTTCAGCCTCCCGCTGGCTCGTCTCTCCCACACAGATTCTCTCCGCGGGAGGGCATGCGTGAATGATCGGGTCACCGAGAGGTCACTCTTTCTAAATAAGAGACTTTACTTTTGTGGCGAGGAAAATGGATATGTTCCAGGCTTCTATTTAAAGGTATTCATAGGCAAGCTGAAATTTCCGTTAAGAGCTTGATAAGCTACTAGAAAAGAGACTAAAAACTGAGCATTCTTTAGCACGGGAAAGATAACAGGAGTGTTTCCAAAGGATTCAAGCTAGATTTCTACATTTGGAAATAGGCTTAGGCTCTGGCTCAGGATTAGGGCCTAGGCTCAGGCTCTGGCTCAGGCTCGGGCTCAGGCTCAGGCTCTGGCTCAGGCTTAAGCTTAGGCTTAGGCTCTGGCTCAGGCTTTGGCTCAGGCTCAGGCCTAGGCTCAGGCTCGGAGTCAGGCTCTGGCTCGCTGGCTCTGGCTCTGGCTCCGGCTCGAGGCTCAGGCCCAGGCTCAGGCTCGGGCTTAGGCCTGTTTTAAAATGTAGAAAGAACAGGCTTAATTCTTTTAGAAACACTGTTGCCTTTCCCGGAGCAGAAGCTATTGATAGCTAAAGAATGCATTTTGCCTCTTTTTAGAACTGGTCCATCATGTAAAATTAAAGTTTACAGGTTCATTTTTGTTCCTCGAACCAGTCTTACACCTTTAAAGTGTAGTTCTGGATACTAAACATAGGAAAATTCCACTTTGAGCCTGATTTCAACTTCGTTTTCTTGGTCGATTGCTCTGAAATTTTGTCTACAGATAGAAATCAACATTTCCAGCTTGTAGACAAAATTTCAGAGCAATTGGAAAAGAAACGGTCGAGAAAACAAAGGTGGAATTAGGTTCGGCTTAAAATTTTCCCATCTCTACTGGGTAAAGACCTGTTTTGAGTCATATACCCAAAACAGAAATGAATTTGATTGTTGATTTGAAGGTTGATTCAAAAAACAGTTAACTCAAGAATCTCAAGAAGAGCGCAAACTTTTGGGATTAACCTCAAGAAAGTAAATCAACTCCAAGAATGTAAATAAATTTTTTTTTATAAAACTCCCCTTCTACATCTTTCTTTCCTATATACCTAAAAAAATATTTATAAAAAAATTAAACCCAATAATCCAAAAAAAAAAAAAAAAAAAAAAACATTCTTTTCCAACTTTCCCCCTTTTTACACTAATTTGGGCTTATTTCCAAGAAAATTCGAGCGCAAAAACTAAGGCAATCGGTATAGACTAAGTAAAATTTGATAAAAGATAATATTAAGAAATCGGCTAAAAAGTTTGCAAACGGTTAACCTAATCAAAAGAAATCCATCGTTTTTTATATTTCCCATTTTTACCTCCCATCCATCGAGATTCGATTTTGTTTCACAGCGTGATGTCTCTGCCCTAAACATTTTCAATTCTTTTTCCTTTTTTACACGTGTGGGGGTGGTATTTGTGGGTTGAGATGGGGCCAGGAGAAGAAGAGGAAGAAGAGGAAGAAGAAGAGGAAGAAGGAGAAGAAGAAGAAGAAGAGGGAGAAGAAGGAGGAGAAGAAGAAGAGGGAGAAGAAGGAGAAGAAGAAGGAGAAGAAGAAGGAGAAGAAGAAGGAGAAGAAGAAGAAGAGGAGGAAGAAGAGAAGAAGAAGAAGAAGAAGAAGAAGAGGAAGAAGAAGAGGAAGAAGAAGAAAACACATGTTTACAAAAGTGCTTAAACGACTCAGTCACCGTTGTGGGTAGAAAGGAAAGGAAATCAGAGAGAATCTCTCTTTTGATCTCTTTTCTCTTCTTTCTTTTTAATTCAATTTTTTCCCTTTCTTCTTCTTTTCTGCTTTTATTCCCTTCTTGTTTGATACGACAATCGGCTACTTCTCTCAAGGCCTTTCACTGATAAAAAACGTAATAAACTTTGACGAAATATTAGGTTGATGCAAAAGTCTTTTTCATTTTTTTCGTACTTCTTTTGAAAAATAACAAACTCATCAATTAACCTATGGTTTGCTCTAAATGAAAAGTGTTTATTGTTCATTTTCCCATCTTTTAAGTCAATTTGGGGTTCACTTTCAAGCAAATTCGAGAGTGAAAACGGGTTTTTCATAAAAATCTATAAAAACCTCTATAAAGAAATTGGCTGAATCAATTTCTCTGAAAATCTGAAAAGATATCTAACTTTTTGTGCTCTATCTTTTATTTATTAACATCAAGATTGGTTTCCTTAGCTAAAGCGTCTAAAATGCATCATCGAGCCGTCGCCTTTTTTGACTACCCGACTTCAGGCTCTCAAAAAAATCTAGACATAAGACATTTTAAACTCGTTTTAATGTCATTTTGCAGAAAAATAATTGGCCTTTCGAATGCAATAAACCGTTGTTCAATTGGTGCATTTGTTACTTTTTAACGGAAGTACGAAAAAAATGAAAAAGACTTTTGCATCAACCTAATAGTTAAAAAGGAAAAGTAAAAAATCCTCATGATGTTAAAAATGAGCGAAATTTGAATTTCGATTAAAACTCTGGTATTTTTAATACAAAAATCTTACAAGTCAGAGATTTTAGGGACGAAGATTTACATACCTACCGTATTTCCTTTAATAAATGTCCCCCTTGACCAAGTTTGGAAGCCTCTTTCTCAGCCCCATTTTGAGAATATTTTTATGCTCAATGTGCCAAAAGATAGAAGATATTAAGGGGCTATTTATTGGCATATTGAACATACAAATATCTCAAAATAGAATAAACTGGAAGCGTCTAAACCTGGTCGAGGGGTTTAGACGCCTTCGAGTTTAGACGTCTTGTTCTCAGCTCCATTTTGAGGATATTTTTATGGTCAATATGCCCAAAAGATAGAAGATATTAAGGGCTATTTTTAGGCATATTCAATCTATAAATATTTCAGAGAAAAACTGAGAAAGGAACGTCTAAACAAAGTTGAGGGGGATTTAGACGCCTTCGGGTTTAAGATGCCTTGTTCTCAGCCCAATTTTTGGGGAATTTACATGTTTGATACATCAAAAGATAGGAAACTATTAAGGGCTATTTTTTTGGCATATTGAACATAAAAATGTCTCAAAATGGAACTGAAAAGAAAAAAAAAAAAAAAAAAAAAAAAAAAAAAAAAAAAAAAAAAAAAAAAATATCAGCAATTGACGCTTGACTATCTATTGGATATCCTGAAAGCTATTGTTTGCAAATCATTGAAACTGGTCCACTTAATCTCAATCAGCTTAAAGATATTCAGTTAAATGACGTTCAAAAGTATAGAAATTAGGCAGTTCAAAAATTTCGAGACACTTTAAAATTAGATAAAATTTTCTCCAAAAAATTTCTCCAAAAAATTTCTCCAAAAAATTTCTCTGAAAAATGCTCTCTACAAAAAGTTAAACCGTTTCCAAAAGAAACTTTTACAAATTCTCTAACCCACTGAGAGTTCTCAATGCGGAGAACTCTCAGTAAAGTAAATTCTAAATCAAATTAGTGTTCTTGTGGGAAGTGAATCGAGCAAATTATATGAAAAAAAAGGGAAAATCGGAAAAAAACCGGTTAAAAGATTCCAAGTACAGTTAGAAGAAGAAGAAGAGAAAAAAGAAAAAGAAAACGAAAAAGAAAAAGAAAAAGAAAGTAAAGGCTCATTGTTGATGAAAAGAAGAGATCCACACAAAAATAAACAAGAGATCGATGACATGAAAAAGGAAGAAATTGAATGGAAAAGAGTCTGTGAACAAAAAATAAACTGGTAATGAATACTGCGAGGATGGAATAGATTCATAATATCAAAAGCTAGTTATTCTATGAAATCAAATGTATTGGATGCTTGAGAATGGACTAAATGTTAACCAAAAGCCTTTGCTTTGAATGGGTTGATAGAACCCAATAGAAACCAAACTAATCTTATCTTCTTGATTAATTTAGGGATGTCATTTAATTACCCAAGGTCAGGTTATTTAGTCAATCGCAGGTAATGAATACTGGTTTCGGCGTAGTTAATTATTCAAAAAATGCCAACTAGTCAGTTATCCAATCGTGTTAAAACAAAAAAAGCATTACTCAATCTCATCTACAAATCCTACAATGATTCCAGTTTCAGCCCCTATTTTCTTTTCAGCCTCTGAGCGTGTTTCTAAGCCTGACCTAAGCACAGCCAAAGCCTGACCCTAAGCCCAACCTAAGCCTGACCTAAGCCTAAGCCTGGGTCTGAGCCTGGGGCTGGCCTGAGCTTAAGCCTGAGCTTGAGGCCTGGTCTACGCCTGAAGCTGGCCTAAGCCTGATCTAAAAAGCCTGGGCCTGGCACAAGCCTGGAAGCTTGAACCTGGCCTAAGCCTGAGTCTGATCCTGAGCTTGACCTTGGCCTGAAGCCTGGCCTAAATCTGCTCCTAGCCCTAAGCCTAAGCCTGACCTTAGCCTGGGCCTGGCCTAAGCCTAAGCCTGAACCTGTAGACCTAGCCTGCGCGTAAGCCTGGCTTAAGCCTGAACCTGGCTTGAGGCCTAAGCCTGACCTAAGCCTAAGCCTGGGCTTAAGCCTAAGTCTGAGCTTAAGCCTAAGCCTGAGTCTAAACCTGAACCTGGCTTGAGGCCCTAAGCCCCTGAGCCTAAACCTTAACTGGCTGAAATCCAGAAAATGGGGATTTAGCCGAAACCCAAACATGCTTTAGTGCAAGGTGCTGGCAACTAGCCTTGCACTAAGTCAAACCTAAGCCCTGAGCCTGTGCCTAAGCCTGGGTTAAAAAGTAACAACCCCGCCAACTTTAGAATTGAAATTGGAAACGTTTTGTGCGGTGATGACTTGAGGTTTTTTCTTAAAAAGAGCTCCGAAAGTTCTTTTCCCACTTTCGAATGGACTTCTTTCAGCCTTTTTACTCGTTATTGAAGAACGGTGAGAATGACTAATACTTTCGAGTATTTCCGAAAATCTCCCCCGTTTTTTTGTTGCCACTCACCCGGTTCTGCATCCGATTCGGAGGTGGCCGCCTCGAGCTGTCTCATCGATGCTTCCATTTATCCACGGCACTCATTTTCTGAAAAGAGAAACTACTATTTTTTGGGCAAAACTTGAAGAACTTGAAGAGCAAAACTTGTTGTTGAAGAGTAAAACTTGTTGAAAAACAAAACTTGTAGCTTTTCGAGTAGCTTATAAAGCTTAAAAGCTACTCAAAGCCTATTAAACCAGAAAGTTTCTTGCTTCAACCAGAAAAGTTCCTTGCTTCAACCAGAAACCGTTAATCTATCTCAATAATTAGAGTTGATTCAGGAGGTTTTTTGAATCAAAAGAAAAATGGAGTGAGAGCCCCCCCCAAGTAAAAGTTGATCTATTCCTTTGATCTATCCAGGAACAGAATTGACTCTTCTAGCAAGAATCTCACACAGAAAAGAATGGATTCACATAAATAGAAAATTTCAAAGTGTTTCACATTGCGAAAAGAAGAGAGATGGAGAGAGGTGAAAAGTGCAAAAATAAAAAAAAATTAAGAGTCTCCAGTAGAAAAAAAAACTGAAAACTTAGAAGGAAACTGTTTGTGCTAATCATTTTAATGGTTTCTGCCAGACAAAACAGCTTTTTAGGCTCGAAATTTCATTTGGAAGAGTTCGAAAAAGGCTGTTTTCTCTTAAATCAAATGGTTTTTCTAGTGAGAGTCAAAGAATCAAAAATCAGAGTTCTCCGTGGAGGATTATGAGTCATAAAGAGATGTTCATCAGAAAAAAGGTAGCCAAATGGGTAGGACTTGCACCTTCTCTGATCTGGGGCCCCAGCCAAAGAGACTTTGTTTCTAAAAGGATGATTGACGCCAAAGAGATGACCCGGGATAGCCGCATCTATACGCTACATTTCCCAAAATCGCATTTCGATTCTTAGTAAAGAATGACTAACTTGATGGTCGGTAAGGGAAAAACAAACAAACAAAGAGCCCTCTTAATTAATCTATTTTTCTAAAAAGTGACAGTTTAGGAAAGCTATCGTGATCTTATCTCTTGTTTCATCCCGAAAGCTATTGTGTGGTCTTATCTCTTGTTTTATCCCACTTTCTATCATCAGATTCATTCAAAATTTCAACCTACTTACCGTATTTTCTCTCTATTAGTGAGAGTCGCCTAAATTCCTCGAAATCCCGAGAACCGCTTATCAGAACCTATCAGTAATGTGGGGTTGGAAAATGTAGCTGACGATGAGATCTGAGTGAGGGGTTAAAGTGTTGAGCTTCTGTGAAAGCTTGGGAACTGTAAAATAGTCACCAACTCGGCTCGACCGGGGTGCATGGAGGAGGTCAGGCGAATGTTGGGGGAGAAGGCGAGTTTTCACCATTTTGTAGTCCAATTTTAGATAGATTTTTGTTAACAACTTTTGATGAAACAAATAGTATCTCAAAGTTGACGTTCTACGCTATCTAAATCTTATTTAAAACTTCCTGAGCTGAGAAGTTTAGATTGCTTAAATATTGAATTGCAAAGTTGGACAAAAATTCGCCTCCCCCCGGTTAACCGTAAAGCACCATTTATCTTATTGATAGTGAAAAAAGAAAAGAATCGAGGAAAACTGGTTTCCATGATTCATCGAACGGTTTCCATCTACGGAGAATTTGCTTTGAATAGAGCCATTCTGAATTGAATCTTATCTTTCTATATTCCCATGTTAAAAGTTCAAATAAAAATGTTGAAATAGAAAAAACCAAATCGGATCCGGGAAAAAAATAATCGTAAAAACCTATCTATATGTTTGGGGA